GAGCTGAAGTCGGATGCTTAACCGACTGAGCCACCCAGGCGCCCCTATATCTATCATTATTTTAAAATAGCATCCCCCCCCTTCCAAGGTTATGGAAAACAAACCAACTCGACATTGAATTAAAGCATTCGGAACAGATACATACATCAAGAGCTCAAATTGTTCTTTGTTTTCACCACCAAAGACCAACCATTCATCCCTCTTCAGAGACTTTCCCTTTTAGTTTTTTTCTACGCGTATACGAGTGTAAATACCCACACGCGTTTGTATGAACTTGGCATTGAGCGTCACATGAGGCTTTCTAAACTCTTCCCCCTGTTGAACAATACGGATGGTGGAAATTTTCTCATATTAGTAAAGTGTGATTTTTATGATTTTAATGCATGCGTGGTGTTTTGTTGAAAAAATATACCATTATTTGATTAAATATTCTCAGATACTGCACATTTTTCATTTCTCACTACTAAAAGTCAGTCTGTGAGCATCTGTTTTTGTTAGGCTGGCTTTAATGACATGCGTATTATTGCTAAGTTTTGTTTTCTGACCTGTCTCCCTCCTTATCCTTGCCTTTGACCCGTGGAAATCAGCCTTCGGGGCAAGTGGACAGGTTCTCCATTCTCTAGAAACCTCCGTAAACTCTTCTAATGCAGCCGTTCTCGCCCTGGGGCCATTTTGCCCCCAAGGGGACATTCGAAAAAGTTGGGAGACATTTTGGTCGTCCCAAGTCAGGGTTGACCTCCTCTCCTAGGTAGAGGCCAAGACGCCTCCTCAGGAAGAATAACCCACCCCAAACGTTAATTGTGCCGGGGCCAGCAGCTTAGTTCTCATGCAGCCAGATCCTGTCTGGTTATTTGGAAATACCCACCCGGTCACCTGAGGTGAGGGAATGTCAGCTCCACTGTGACACATCTTGGTTTGGTGACTGTTGGCAGTTACAGGCTCACTCACCTCACTCACCAGCCCTCCCGACGCATGCGAGCTCTTGGATGGCACTTGGCAGGGACTTGCAGGCAAAGTCCTTCCCTGGCGTGCATCTCTGCCTTCTGGGGGTTTCCTTGGGGGCTCGTGCGCTTGTGTCTCTGAAAGGAAGGCTGCCATCGCCCGCCCTAGTTCTGTTGCGTGCAGATGTTCCACTGCCCTCCCCCGGCCCGTCCCACGCGGAACGATGGAGGCCGATCGGTGCTGTAGATCAGACCCTTGTCATTGTTTGCATAGAAGAGGCCTTTGAACAGGGGCCAGGATGAGACCACGGTGGAAAAAGATGAGGCCCCAAAACAATGCCGCGCAACTGGCAGCTCTCCGTAAACGTACAGCGTGATCTCGCCATCGTATGGGAGCGAGGTAACCTTGTGATGAACCGAGTGGGAGGAAGTGAGTAACGGGAGGAGACAGTCGGTGCAGTGTTTGAATTGGACGAGCCGTCCGCGCCCTCCAGAGCGCCCTTCGCAGTAGAGGAAACTGGGGAGGGGACGCTATTTCCTACGGCTCTGTTGTCAGGCACCGTTCGGGTTGAGGCAAGGGGGAAAAAAGCCCCGGGATGCTTCCGTGCTCAGACCCCACGGCTCTCTCTGGCCCGAGTCACAAGCAGGCGTGGGTGTGTGGGATCCGTCAGAGGTGAAGCATGGGCTGCTGCTGCTGGCTTTAGAGACGCAGGTGCCTGTTCGTGGCCGGCGGGCGCTTTTGTGAGCAAGCATGTAGTTCTCAAAGATTATCAGCGATGGGAGGGCCCTCGAAAGCTGTTCTGAAGAAGGAGACGTGCACCACTAACTTGGCCCTGGGCATTTATCTCATGTTTAGTTAACGCGTTCACAGGCGGGCTTTCGGGGTTTTCCCGGGGGAGGAAAATTGAGGCATGAGGTGGTCATGGCCATGCTCTGTTCCCTCACCCCTCTCTTCCCCCCCAGGCCCCCCACCCCCGGGGTGGGAGTTCCCGAGGAAGGAGTCACGGAGGCTGAGAGCCCTTGTTCCTTGAAGCCAGGACTCCTCAGCCTCCGTGCTGTCGGCACTGGGGCCAGATGGTTCTTGGTTGTGGCTGTCCTGTGCACTCTGGGACTCTAAGCAGCATCCTTGGCCTCTGTCCGCTGGATGCCAGGAGTAGTCACCCCCTCGTTGTGACAACCAAAAAGGTCTCCAGATACTGCCCCATGCAAAATCCCCTCCATTGAGAACCACTGGGCGAGGCATTGGTCCCCACACACGGTGCGGTTGAGGGACGCACAGAGTTACCGTCACCCTAGCGGGCTGATCACGCTGAGTGGGCGTTTTCTGTGTGTCTGGCCCTTGGCTGCGTGCTCTGTGTAGGTGACTTCGTTTAAGCCCCAACAGCCTGCGTGGTAAGAGTTGTTCCTGTTTTACAGATGAGAGAACTGAGGCTTAGAGAAAAGAAGCAGCATGTCCCGAGTGCACACAGCTGAAAGCTGGCGTCGGGTCTAAGCCTTCGACGCCTGGGCTGTGGTGTTATCTACCACCCCCCCCCCCCCCCCCCCCCCGCCCCGAAAAGCTGGTCAGTGTGAACAAAGATCTGGGTCATTTGATGGCTTGCAAGTCCTCAAGTAGACACGGGTCTGGAATGATCGGGATTAGCAGTTCTCAGTGAAGGCAGTTTGCTCCCCAGGGGACATTTGTTTATGTCTGGAGATATTTGGGCTGTCCCCATGGGGGTGTGGCCGACCTCTAGTGGGGACGGGCCAGGGACGCTGTAGAAGGTCCTGGAATGCACAGGCCAGCCCCCACGGCAAGGAATTCCCCAGCCCATATGTGAACAGTGCCAAAACTGAGAACCCCACTCTGGGATAAGTACCTTACTTCCCCATCTTTTTGGGTAGACCACAGTTGGGTGATCCTGGCAGTCCTGTGTGTAAATTAAAGATGATCTTACGGGGGCGCCTGGGTGGCTCAGTCGGTTAAGCATCCGACTTCGGCTCAGGTCATGATCTCGTGGTTCGTGGGTTCGAGCCCCGCGTCGGGCTCTGTGCTGACGGCTCAGAGCCCGGAGCCTGCTTCGGATTCTGTGTCTCCCTCTCTCTCTGCCCCTCCCCCGCTCACGCTCTGTGTCTGTCTCTCAAAACTGAATAAACATTTAAAAAAAAAAAGACCTTACAGCGTGCGAGTCTGTTTCTGCTGAGATAGTAATAACTTTAAAAACAAACTTCTGAAATCCTTTTGATCTTTCTTTCCTCATTTAATGCTTTTCCAAACGCTTTGAGTTTTCTTCTATTTTCTGTGGCCTTTGCCCCCAAGTGAGCGCCACGCCCCCCTCTACCCCCTTCTGGCTTTTTATCTTTGGCCAAGTGTCAAAACATTGGCGTCCGCTGAGTTTGTATGCCATCTGTCATGGGAGGTGGGCACTGGAGCAGAAAGCGGGTGTTCCTCTTGGGTATTCATTCTGCCTGGCCCCCCCCCCCC